GGGAGCTGCTGCACTTGTAAGTCCAAATTATTTATTAACAATTGCCAGGGCACTGCTATTATGAAATATTAATGCCGAATGGTTGCATAATTGGATTTTTTTTAAGTATTGCTTGTCATTAATGCTTATTGAATGAATAATTTATTAAAAATATTTCTCATAATTTTATGCATATAGTTTGTTCTAGTTATGAAGTCAGCAATCTTTTAATTTATTGAATTATTAATTGATTACAGTTGGATAGATCATTTTGCATATTATGATTTATATTAAAATGCAATCAGTCTATAACTAGCTACAGCTTTAGAATTAAATGTTTCAGCCACCAAGATCTGCCCATCCAAATGTGAAATTTACTTGTACAAGCCAAGAACCAATGGTAATAGAGAATTTACCTTTTGATAAATATGAATTAGAACCTAGTCCTTTAACTCAATATATTCTAGCAAGAAAACAGCCTACAGTATGCTGGCAGGTAGCTCCATTCTTTTTTAAAAAATATATTTTGATATAAAAAGGCAATTAATAATTGATATTTATTTTTGTTAAAGATATTTGTAGCTAATAGTTCAAAAAGTGGAGAAATTGGTCACCCATTCGGGTATTTGAAAGCTAGCACAAATTTGAGTTGTGTCAACATGTTTGTAATGCCATACAATTATCCTGTGTTATTACCTTTACTAGAAGAATTATTTAAAGTACATAGATGCAAACCTAGTAATGACTGGAAAACACATTTTGGAAATTATCTAAGAACGATGCCACCTTATTATGCAGCTGTAAGTGAATTCAATTCATCTTTTACAATTTATAGATCATGCCATTCAATCATTGACTTTCAGATAAAAAATGAATTTATATAAAAATTAGTATAAATAAGTTAAGTTCCCATTTAGCTAACTTAATAAGTTTGAGATATTTCTTCACAATAAATATCATTACTATCAATGAGTAACTTGGCAAAAAAAAAATAATTTTATTTTATTTTGTTATAGCCATTAAAAGAGCTTTAATTAGAATGGGAGCTCCTGCACCTTTAGCATCAGCTTTAATTACTGATTCTATGGAAAATTCACTAAGTTACTTAGTTCTAAATTATTTGAAACGTGCTAAAACACAAGCCAAAATCGAATTTGATAAACTATGTAATGATGTAAGTAAATATTCCATTCCCTTTAATATTGTGATTTAGTTTTCTTCACATATGTTTATAAACAATTTTATTTAGGTTATCAGCAAACAGAATAATGGTAAACATGGGGTACCAAATGAAACAGTGCGAGTTGTTGCGAGATCTCCTTTTAAAAAGGATCTTCTATCGCATCCACAGCTCCAAGGTATTTGTAATACATTTTTACAAAAATGAAGAATTAAGATTATCTCACATAATATGTATTGATAACTTTCAGACAAATTTTCACAGTTGAGAGAACAACTTAATGATTTTAGTGGGTTTGTTGTTAATTTATCGAAATCTCGTCAAAAAAGTAGTTGTAGTTTTAGGAATCCATTTGATATATCACGGAGTGTTTTATTAGATCAGGTCAGTTTCAATATATTTTTTTTTTGTCATCATTGTTTTTGTGATTGCTAGATTAATATGCATTGCAACAGTTTTTTTTTGTGTATTCATAGCAAAGGCAATATATATTTTTTCAATAGGTTGTTCGTATGAGGGCAAACTTTTTGCAGCCTTCTTTATCTCATACACAATTAATAGATGATGACAGCTTGCACTCAATGCCTGTAGGTCAAATGGGAAATTATCAGGAACATTTGAAACGAATGACACCACAATTGCGAGAACTTGAAAGTCAACCTGTCAGACAACACATGTTTGGAAATCCTTTCAAGATAGATAAAGTAAGTTTATATAGTGTTGTATTAATAAAAAAATAATTAAAATCTCATTAAGTATGCTCTATTAGATTTTTTTTTTATAAATATTGGTACCCACTCAACTTTTTATATTATGCTTGTAGGCAAAATTAATAATACATTATGTATATTATTAAATTTATAAATAATATACTAATAGAAAGCAATTATTGAATAACAATTAGTTATTGGTTCAATAATATCATCCAAGTGATTTTTCTGAACCACAGTACAATTATCCCAAGTACTATGTAAAATATTAGAAAAATCTAAACCCTCCTTTGAACTCTAAAATAAAAAGAGTAAATAAAATTTGTATTAATATTTGATTTATTTAAAAAAAATGTTTACTCTTCAAACAATTCTTTTTTCAACTATGAATTAGTTATTAATTACATTTTTTATGCTTTGACTTCTCAATCTTCTATATGATGTATAACAAAATTTATGTACAACAGATTAGTCAAAATTAATAAAATAAATGATGCAATGACTAATTTTGTAAAAAAATAACACCTATTATAAAAGTTTCATTTTTTATTATACTTTCTATTTTTTGCTATTGTATTATTAAATTCATTTTTTTTATTAGAGAATGATTATATTGTTTGTTTCAATATGATTATGTGATCTAATTGATTGAAGAATAAAAAATTTTCAATTTTTTATCATCACTTGACACTGTATATTCCAGATTTAAGCTTGCATATCAAGTAATAGTAAAATTATTCTGTGGTACTGATAATTAATCTTTAATTGCAGCGAATGATGGTGGATGAAGCTGATATAGACTTAGTTGGATCCACATCAAAAAGCCCCAAACGTTTAACACCAATGGAACCTGCCTCGCCTAGAATAAACAATAAGCGAAAAGCTGGACCTCTTCCAAGAGACTTCCGTTTTAGTAAACCTGAAAGTCCAATTCACGAAACATCTTCATACCCTTCAAGTCCGTCTTTATCTCCCTCCTCTCATGTTTACACTCCTGCGAGTCCTATATCATCAGGATATTCCAACCCTGTCTTATTACCTCCTGTGTATACAATGAGCTCTGAATTGATTGCAAGTTTAGGGACTCCAGTCGTTACAATAGCGCCGATGCAAAATTTAGAATCTGGCATTGTTTCTCCCTCCTGGTCATCTTTAGGTAATATTATCAGACAAACAGTAATATAATTAGAAGTTTTCAAGTTTTTTGTGTTTATAAATCAATCTGATATCTTTCTTGTACTGCATAAATATTTATGTGATTATGTATGTATGTATATGTATAATGTACTTTATTACATTTTTTTTTTTTAAATTCAGGTTCTTCAAGCTTGTCCACATCAATTCAGACGTCAAACAATTTACTTAATCCTCTTGATGATATCGATCTACTTAATCCTATGAGCAGTCAAGATTTGCAAGATAATGGTGGCAGATTACAAATAGATTATAGATTTGTAAATGGAGGTAATAAAACCAATAATTTCGAAGATTTTTTTGTTTTGTATATTTATATTTACTGAAGATATTTTGTAACTTTATATTGGAGATAAAAATATAAGTAAAACGCTGCAAAATATTTGTTAATAAATAAAGAAATCATAGATATTTTTAAATGATACTATTCTTAGCTTTTTACTGGTAAGTTTTCATTTCATATATTATTAATGCTTAAAAACTTTAATTATTCAGATATGATTTTATTTTACTTCTTAATTGCAGATAGTAAAAACGTTCAAGCAGAATCTACAAGATCTCCTTCACCTACACTGCCTTATAATCCTGAACCAGGAAATGGTGATCGACCACTTCCAACATATTCTAATCATGTTAAAAATAGTAGCAGTATTGCAAATTTAAGTCAAGAAAAACAAATATCAATGATACTTCAAGAAGTTAATTCGAATGGTGGAGATTTTACTAAACGATCTGGTTCAATTAGTAATAGTAAAAAGTCTACTAATGGACCTGTGGAGGAGGCACCACGAAAAAAAAATACAAAGCAGGATTTGTTAGATATTAAAAAACATAATTTGTCGGTTAGGAAGCTAGTTTACAAAGAAGTTCGGAGACCTGGGAGAAGTAAGTTGTCTATGCTTGAAAGATTTTTAAAGATTAACTTTTTACTTATATATGCATACACACACATACACACACACACACACATATATATATATATATATATATATATATATATTTATATATATATATATATATATATATATTAGGGTGGTCCTTAAAATGGTCATTTTCGAATTTCCTTGCTCCCAGGGGCTCAAATGGTTCCAAATTGATAAAAAACAATTCTCTGAAAGTTTTAGCTCTTAATATTAACGTTTAGATAGAGCGCAATTCAATCAAAGTTTGTATGGAAAGAGCATGGAAAAATTTTTGAAAATTAAAAAAAAATGTTTTAGGTGTAACTTAGTGACAAATGAATGAGTTTTATTCATTCATTTGTTCGCTAAATTACATTTAAAAAACATTTTTAAAATTTTTGAAAAATTTTCCATGCTCTTTCCATACAAAACTTTGATTGAATTGCGCTTTATCTAAACGTTAATATTAAGAGCTAAAATTTTCAGAGAATTGTTTTTTATCTATTTGGAACCATTTGCGCCCCTGGGAGCAAGGAAATTCGAAAATGACTATTTTAAGGACCACCCTAATATATATATATATATATATATATATATATATATATATATATTGGAAGCAGAAGTTTGGAAATGAAAATACATGAAATAAAAAAAATGGGGAGAGGGAATAGTGATAATGGGATGAAGGGTGAGGGAATTATTTGCTTGTGGTGGCTACACCATGGACCTGTTTTCGGGCAGATTACCATTTATTATTATTATATATATATATTTAGTACTACTTGTATTATAAATTAAATTCTTGATTTTATTTGCAGATTTTGCTCCACTATTCGATCACCTAGAAACTATGCAAGGAACCTTAGATGTCCGAGTTCTCTTAGTGAAAGAAATCATTAAGGAATGTTTACGATTTAAAAGAAAGACATTAGCTAGTTTGTTAGAGGAATTTTTAAAAAGAATCCAGAATGGATTACAACCTAAATTGAAGGATCTTTATCAAGCAGTTGCCAACAAGAGCTTAGTGTGATACATACTGATAATTGTTTTTAATATATTTTTTATTACATTGTTATAAATAAATATTATGAAAATATTTTTCAGATTCTAATATGTTGTAAATTATTGTACATATTGTGTAGCTGAATCTAGTTCATTGACGATAAAATTGACTTGTCATATGGACATACTATATAGAAATTGAGACATTGTATACACGTTGACACATTGTATAGAGAAATTGTATATGTACACACATTATGATGTAAGACATTGTTTATTAAATTTTATACATATTATTTATCCATATATTTTTCTTCATTTGTTTCACAGCATCTTTATACACATGCACTTTCCTGGAGAATCGCTAAGCATTATGCTTTGGCCCATTTTATACGTTGCTTGCTAACAATTTGGTCCAAGTTAAGAAACGTTTTTCACCAAATGAAAGTCTTTAGATTTATATTATAGATTTAAGATTTTCAAGAGGTTTATAATTAAATAACAAATTATGTATACCATTATAAACTTTTAAATCTTTTATGCTTAATGTTGTGAATAAACAAAAATATTGGTTTATATATTGATGTGGAGGATTGATTGATTGATTGACTTGTTTGATTTTATTGTTTTGATTCATTTGTGTCTGAAAGTTGAGCTGTGGGAATCTTATCACGAGTGTCGCTGTTTTGTAATTTTAGTTTACAATCTTAATTATAAATAAGAATATTTCTCTTATACTTTCATATTTCTCTTATATTTATATGCCTCTACTTTTTAATATAGTCTATAAAAATATATATACATTTTTTTATCATTATAGGAAAGTGATACAGTTACAAAATATAAATAAAACGATTTTTAAAGTTATTCATGTGAATTAATTGCCATCTGTTATAGTTAATTATTATGAATGCAACAAATATGACAGGGCTCATGAACAATTCAATTGGATGGATATTTTGCTAAGCTATTTTATCAAAGCCTAATAAATTTCAATAATTCAAGAAACATTTTCCTTGTATTGATAAAATGAAGAAGTAACAGTTTTTGGTAAGGTAGGTTCAGCGGCGGTCAAAAATAATGATTACACATATGCACATCAAATTTTAGTAAGCACACATTTTGCTTACATTTCTATGGGTTCCGTATCAAGATATAGTGTTTAACCGTTAGACTGAAACGCGGCGCTTACGCGCTTCGATATCATATATAAAATTTTAATTATTAAAAAAAACAAAACGAATTTTTTTTCCAAAAATTCTAATTTCTCAAAAATATAATTTTTTCAGTTTTCAAAAAAATAAAATTTTAAATTACGGCACGGAACGTTTCAGCAATTTGCATGGCAAGTTATAGTAACCGCAAAAAAATCGAAAATGTTTATATATTTTTACGTTTCAAAGGTTTCTGAACGTTTCGACATACCTTATAAAAAATGAATGTATGTGTGTGTGCGGATGCAAATTTTCGTCGACGATTTTGGGAACACCGATCAACTGATTTGAAAAAGCATTCGATTCATATTGATAAGGAGACGTGCTGATTAGTTTTTGGCATAGGCAGGTCTGGCCGTTCCGAAGAGACGGGGCAAAAAGTGCCAAAAACGGTAACTCAGTTTTTAAGAGAACGGAGCATCCGATTTTAATAATTCAAAATTATTTTTCTTGTATGGACAAGGTGAAGAACTAATTAAATTTTTGGGAAGGCAGGTCCAGCGGTTTCAAAGATGTAGTAAAAAAATGTCATTTGGTGGTTAAAAATGATCATTAGACATATGCACATCAAATTATCGGATATTTTTATGAAGATTTTAATAATATGTATCAATTTTGTTTACATTTCTATGAGTTCCGCAACATCGTTTGTTCGTTAGACGGCGACGCGGCGCTTGCGGAAAAAAAGTTCAAAAATTCCAAAATTAAAAATTTTTCATAAATTTGATTTCAAAGTTAAAAAAAAAAATTAATCATTTTTGAAAAACTTAATTTTTGATACGGGAAGTTCTAGCAATTTGCCTTAAGGCATGATGCCATACACAACTAGTTTTTGATTATACAGTAGAACCTCGTTTATCCGGACTTATCCGGTTGTACGGATTTGCGATTATCCGGACTAACAACCGCAACGAATTTTTATGTATGTACATAACTACAATTCGAATTTTTGCATGATTACTGCTGCATTGTAGTATATGTATGTAATGAAATCTAAGAAAATATATATGTACATACATAAGGAAGTTTCAATTTCTCAATAAACATTAATTTTCGTTGATCTTCATCCAAAAATGAAATTTCATTACCTTTTCTTTTATCCAAACAATGACAAAAAAACGTTTTATAGCTGTTTCAGTGGTGTTACCCTTTCTTAGAAAGAATATACTTTGTGTCGGGTGGAATTAAATTCATCGTTCAATTGTACAATATTGAATCCTATTTGGATGACCTTAGATTCAGTAATAATCTTTTCGCACGGTAGTTTCGTGTAGCACGTATAAGTTTAATGAATCACAATAAATATAAATACATAGGTTGAAAATCCCTGTAGTGAAGCATGCGCTATTTTAGTCAGAGTATCCCAAACACACTTTTGCGATTCTGCGTCATGGTGTTGACATTTGGCTTGAGGCCAGTTATTGTTTCGGTAGCATCATTGACTAACGTGGATCTCGATAGAAGTACCTATATAAAAGCTAGTTAAATACCTAAAATTCTTTCTTCAGAGCTAAATCGTCGCGATATGTAGTCGACTTTGCCTGTCAATACGGATAATTCTTAAAAGACGCAATTACACTTGTCATCTCAGCCTTTATTTGTCAGTGATAAAAAACGCGGGAAATTAATTCATTGTTTCCGGCCGTGATTGTTCCGGTTAAATTTCTTTAAAAATTGTTGACAAGTTTTGTTTATGTCAGTTCATCAAAAAACATGAGTTGGAGACATATGGTATGACATTAAATTTTGTTTATTTGATTTTGTAATTTGTGCTCTTTTAACGTTGAAATTATCTTTGAGAAATAATTGGTAAATTCTAGTCATTAAAAAAATAATTAGGATTGTTTATACGTGATTTACGAATTAATTGCTCAATATGTATAAAATGTTTTAACCATAATTGTGTCATTTAATTGTACGTATATTTATATATGTATATATATATATATAAATATGTATTCATAATTATGAAGTAAAAATAGTTATAATCATAAATCGAATATTATTAGATATTGTGCTTTGATTTGTTTTTAAGGAATTTATGCCAATATTTTTTATATTTTTTATAACCAAGAGTCCTTTCACTTATTTAAAGTCATAGTTAGTTTGATTCGAACAAACTAATATATCCGTATAAAATAATATTAAAAATTTATAATTTGATGTAACATGCGTACGTTATGATTATATTCAACAAATATATTTTATTTTATTAAACATATTATTTTATTTATTATTATTCTAAACAGCAATCAGAATACAATATCCTATGAGCTATTTGATTCAATTCATTCACTCAATAAACACACATATGAAATTATTGGGCTAAAGTAGAAAAAAATCTAATCTAAATTGAATTGGTAACCATCGATGACACGTAAAAATTTTATTCAGTGATATATATGACAAATGCAACAGATATGATATCGTAAATGTTGAAAGATGTATAGTTGAGTTGTCAACAAACAACATGGAAGCATATTGAGTCATGGTGGTCACGTGTACGAATGATTTATTTTGTTTGATTTAGAATTGCAGTTGGAGAGCTGATAATTATTTCAAAATATTTCTTTTAATTATTATAATAATTAGATAATTTTTTATTGAACAGCAGAATATAGAAACCAATTGACGACTGTCTCATGGTATAGGTCTCTGAAATATAGTAATTCAAATTACTATTTCACCGTTTTGAAGCCAAGAGTTTCGACCATTATTTTTGCAAGCAAGGTTTCAAATTATTGATGAACTCATTTTTTTCACTCATTATTATTTTTATTTAAATATTTGACGGCAAACTATCCATAAGCGCAAAATAGTTGGAAACGATATATTATATGACTTCTTATGTTGTTAAGAGACTACTTTACACAGAAGAGCTAATTATCAATTAGCTAGTTAATTAGTAATAAAGTGAAATGTTTTTCAATAAACTGAAGTATATATATATATATATATATATATATATATATATATTGTAGAGCTTCGAACAAAGAATTCAAATGTAATAAAAAACAGAAAAGTTTTTTTAAAAAAACATTTTTTTATTCATTTACTGTCGACGTTTCGGAACTAGGTACGTTCCATCTTCAGGACATCTGTTAAGGAACATGATCCTTATAAGATTTTAACAAACAATAGACTTAGAAAAGTAGAAAATGGTAGTTTTTTTTATATAAAATGAAAAAAATTGTGGAAGAAATAACATTACAGAAATATGACAATATAATCAAAATGAAAGTAAGAAAAATAAATGAGTGGATTATATACCAAAATATTAGAAATGTTAGAAAATTAGGAAGTTTTTAAAAAAAGGTTAAGAAAAAACAGAATTAATTACCTGCATGATTGATTATACACTAACACTCTTTCATTAATTTTCACAAATCCGAGACTCTATCATTTAATATATATATATATATGTATATATATATATATATATATATATATATATATGAGATAATTTGGAGCCCATTCGTCGAATTTAAAAATATTTAAGACCCTACAATTAAAAAATTCTAATTTTTATAGTATCTTATACTAATATTTGTCGTTTTCTTAAAAGTAATTATTGTTTTTTTACATAGCAGTCCATACCAAAATGTATGTCCTCGTACATCAATATGAATAATGTTAATACCTACACTTGAATTTTTAATTATACTGGAAAACCAAACAGACACATCACAACATATAACATATATCAAACAAACAAATATCTAAATATGTTTATTGATTGTATATTAAAAATTATGCACTACCTGTAGACGTAGAAATAAATAATTTTTCTGCTTAATAACGTACAATTGTCCACGACTAAAACATTGATTTTCCAAATTTATATATAATATATATATATATATATATATATATATATATTAATATCCTGTTAAAATTATTTGAACATGAGCATTTTTTATAAAATTACTATTTTCTTAAATTACGAAGACATGTATGGGCCGATTTTGCCGTAGAATAGACCAATGTTATGGCAAGGCTATGTGACAATCCTGATGTCACGCAAAATCGTACTGAATACTGTTCAATAAAAATAAGCCTATCTCGGGCACTGCCGTGTGAAATGGCAATAGGGAATTCCTCACACTATTCATACCTTCATGTAGCACCATTCATTATTTAATAGTGTTCCCAAAAGGGCGATTTTCATTTGAGATTGTATTTGAGATCTACATAACCTTAAGTGGATATTTGATATCATGCTGCCTGATGTCGAGTTATATTTAACTTCCCGTAGGGTAAGTTATTGTAATGGGCCGAAAATCGAAATTGAAAATTTTTACATTTCTCGACGTTTTGAAGGTTTCTGAACATTTTGGCATACCTCAGAAAAAATGGATGTGTGTGTATGTGTGTGTGCGTGTGTATGTATGTATGGATACAAATTTCCAGTCACGTTTTAGGGCGCACGGATCAATCGATTTGAATGGTTCAAAAAACATTCGATTCCTATTGATAGGGAAAAGAGCTGATTAGTTTTTGGCAAAGGCAGGTCCAGCCGTTTCGGAGTTACGGAGCAAAGAGTGCAGAAAATAGAAATCGAGTTTTTGAGAGAACAAAGCATCCGATTAGAATGATCTAAAAAACATTCAATTAGTAATGATTGGGAGAAGTGGTTATTAGTTTTTGGCAAAGGCAGGACTAACCATTTTGGAGATACAGAGCTAAATGTGCAAAAAATGGCAGTTTTTGAGAGAACTAAGCGTCCGATTTGAATGATTCAAAGAACTTTCTACTTGTTTTTAACAAAATAATTGATTGTTTCAAAAAAATTTTATATCGAAAATAATTCAGATTTTAATCGTAATTCTGACTAAAGTTCTAGTGTACTTCAAACAAATATGTTTAACTTTGCAATTCAGTTTATATAATTCTTATAAATATTAGACAATGTTACAATATTTATAATAATCTATTTGAAAACATTCAATATTTCTTGAACATTTCGTTACGGTACGGGAAGTGACAGCAATTTGCCTTAAGCCACGATGCCATACGCCCCACAAGTTTTGGTTTGGGATCGAACCCGATAATTAGGGATTTATAGCTTACTTTTGAAACCTCTATTCCACATTTAGCATAACATTTTTGAGTCGAAAATTGTTGCCTCAATTCTTATATTATTCGTAGCGCAATTAGTTTTTACAATAATGACATCAGTTTATTACCCATTGTGCCCCAAAAATTTCGCCAATAGCTGACCTACACATTTCCGGCCAGACGTCCGTCTATTGTAATTCCGTAACGTACCTCTTAATCATTTCCGACCGTCCTTGAATTTGAACAGAATCTAATATGATGTGGGCGCGATTCGCAATGGTGGAATTTATAATTGCTCGGATAATTAGTCGATTTCTTCGTATCTGCGTTTAGTTTGGTCGGATAGTAGTGGGCTAGGCCATGGATTATGACCACACGCACGAACACGGACGATGATTACGTATTATTATGCACGGGCAACTAATTTAACTTTGTGATTCATTTGGAGCATGATTAATTTTGTAAACATTATACAATTTATATGAAACAGTATGCCGTGGTTAGTCAAAGTACCCTTCATTATAAGAGTGAATAATTAAAAGCTGGACATGCGTAATGTGTGACCGTACGTTCCGGACTTAAATTGGGTTTATATTTTTTATGAATTTTTATATGATTTATTTTAAACACATTCCTATCAGATTTATTAACTTATCGTAGGGTAAGTTACAGTAATCGCAAAAATATAGAAATTTAAATTTTTTACATATCTTTACGTTTCCAAACCTTCTGAACATTTTGGCATACCTTAGAAAAAATAGATTTATGTGTATGTGGATGCAAATTTTTGTCGACGATTTTGGGCCCGCAGATCAACCGATTTGAATATATTAAGACACATTCGATTCATATTTATGAGACGTGCTCATTAGTTAAAAAAATGCAATTCTGTTTTTGAGAGAATCGAGCATCCAATTTGAATTAAATTTTATACACGATTGAACGTTCATGTACATTATTACAATATCAACGTTTAAAATTTTTAGATAATTAAGTTCTAATATTTTAATTTACTCATAAAGTTTAAATGTTTGCTTAGAGAGATCTTATAAATTTGCTAATTTAATATACATATGTCATATAGGACAGAGCTGGGAACAAGGGTCCAATTTGACTTACAATTAAAGCAATTGTATTCGGTAAACACATACCACATATCAAACAACTATCTGACTATAATTAGTAAAACTTCCAACTAATTCATCATTGTAGAAATATGTTTTTTTCTATTATTTAATAATTTGTTTCTTGGTTTTTTTTTTCACCCCATAGACGTATTAAAATGGGACAGCCAGGTGGCAAATGATGTCCAATGACTTATTTTTAATTTTAAAGGGATTCAAGCAATGCTAATTTTATGGGCATAATTTTATATAACCTTGATTTGGTACTTTGTCAGAAATATTTATCAGCAAAGTTGAAATAACTTTTATTTCAATTGATTTTTTGTAAAATGGGTTTATTAACTGAATTTACATTTTTTGTTGTTTACGTTTTGCCAGGGTATAGGTTCAGTTCGTTCTTTTTACCCCACCCACATGTGAGCTATTATAGAGGTTATAGATATATTTTTTCAATTCCCTGGTAATTTCAATTCAGATTACATTATAATCTATAGGTCGAAAGTGGGTATTGACAATCAACAGAAAGGAAAACAGACGAAGGAAAACTTAAATAAATGAATAAATGATAAAATAATAATAATAACAATAATAAATAATGTTAATTATAATAATGTTATGGACAGTCGCCTTAGCTAATTTAGGAATTGCATGTTCATCCAAATTATCTTGCAAAATTAAGCTTCTAGGCCGTTTATGTCCTGATAGCAACGTTGCTTCATTTGAGTGCGATTCGTTTTGATTACACCATTTCCCCTCTACTTTCAAATACCGCTATTCGAAAAACTTCCTACTTTACTTGTTTTTGAGATATCGTCGGTGGACCTTTTTATCTGTGGACCTTTAAGCCCCGCTGCACTCTACTCATTTTTAATCACAGAAAAATTATTTACTTTTTCTTTCATGAATGGACTCGTATATTCATAAAACCAAAAATTTCTGCGCATTATGAACGAAAAACAAACTTTTTTTATACTACTCGAATTCGCATTCGAGAATCATCAATTCTCTTACAAACATTTACGAAAATTTTTCCATGCTATTTCCATACAAAACTTTGAATTGCGCTCTATCTAAACGTTAATATTAAGAGCTAAAACTTTCAGAGTATTGTTTTTTATCTATTTGGAACTATTTGAGCCCCTGGGAGCAAGGAAATTCGAAAATGACCATTTTAAAGACCACCCTAATATATATATATATATATATATATATATATATATATATATATATATATATATATATATATATATATATATATATATATATGAAGATATAGTTTCTGTTTCCAATAAATTGGCAAAGTAATTAGATTTTTGTTTGTCTCTGATAATGAGTAAGTTTTATCAACCAGAAAGGGGCCAGAGTTTGTAACCGCATTGACCTCATTCTCGTTTGCGAAATAAGATCGTACAATCATACGGTATAAATAGGTTGTATTATTTTTGAGACACTGGTTTATTTTAATCGTGACATGAGTCGGCCAACACCTGAAATTTAATAAAATATGTATTTTGCTCGACAGCTTACTTACTTTGAATTACCTTGCCCTATTTACAACGACTGAAATTGGTGGAATTTTTCTTGATGTTTGCACAAGTTTTTATGATTTTTAAAAATAAAGTTTCGAGAGATTCTGTCTATTTTCACATATCTTACAAATATACATTCTAACTTTTTGTATGAAACTTTTAAATTTATTGTAGAAATCAAAAAGTAAGTATTGTTCTTTTAAATAGGGTTCAGTACCAATTTTTATGTAAAATATGCGTTGAAAGTTGGAAGCCTAATAGAGAAGTTCAAATCACTTCAAACTAACAGATTTATATTTTAGATTTCAATCATGAAAATGGCTTTCGCTCCAGCATATAATTTTTTTTGTAGTTTATTAATATGTTCACTCAGAACAAACGATTTTAATAATGTTTGTGATACGTGTTAATACAGTACATAGTTTTGACACTTAAAAAGAAAAAAATAGCAAAAAAATAAAATAGAAATGAATTCACTTTAATTTTAAGTTCCATCAATATTTGATGAAATAGTACTTTTGAACTGAAATTAACTAAATGAATAATTCAAAGTTTTAGATTGTAATATAAACTAGAATTTTTACCTCAAGTTCGGACCATGTATACAACTTTAGAATATGCTCATAAAAATATTATGAGCAAATACATTATTACATTTTGCAATACACAAATTCTTTTTTTAATATTTTCAAATCTAGTTTTAAATTCATAAACATTCTCGAATTGAATTTTCACAAAATACGAATCATCCTGACATCGAGCAGTAGCAATATCAATTTTAACTTGGGAATATAGATCTTAAATATGTTTCCGAATGAAAATAGTTCTTTCCGGACAGTGCTGAACCAAATGAAATAATAGTAAGCTATTAGATAAATTATAATAATAAAGTAAGCCAATATGGACGGATTAATATTTTTAATACGGATGCTTTGCACATAATTTAAATTATTTTCGAAACTATTCTTCGCAAAATCGTTTAAATTATTAGAATTATCAGTCCTCTAGCCAAATTTTATGTCCGAACAGAAAGTACCTACTAAAACTTTTACTATACTAATAAAATATAAAAAAAGATTGCATTATAGGGTTTTGTGTTACTATACAAGAAATTTTATTACGCATACGCGTAATAAATTCTTTTAAATGTCATACTGAAACTTTTGATCTTTTCGCAATGACATAATTTTACGTTCCGACAAATTTTACATTTATTCGAAAAATAAATGAAATAAAATGGTAAAGCAATGAATTTCAAACTTTACTTAGTTGGTTAATTTTATCAAACTAAACTCATTCATTATACAGGAATTATTATATTATAGTTAAAATTTATTTATTAATTCATAAAAAAATCTATAGATTTTATTGAACCGTGCCCGGAAAAAAATATTATAAAAATAAATAGATGCATTGGAGAAAAACATAAAATGATTTACTTATTTAACTTTTTCGAGCAATGAATAATTATGATGAACTGTTATGAATAATATAGTCTAAAATAATATAGTCCAATTGTAATTTGATATTTATTATAATTCGAAAAAGTTTTTCAAAATTCCGTACTGATCATCACATACCACGATGGGACGATTCTGTATGGCAATGCGCCCGAAAGTTTATTTAGTTGGGGAGGAAAATAAATTAAATAGTAATTTAAAAATTTGTCTGCATGGAAATATTGAAATACTGTCCATAAATACGACGAATTAATCATAAAATCAAATCATAAGAAATGGGCGACCCCTGGTTGTGACAGACGTAAAAATAGGTAAAAAAGCAATAGGCATAAACACCAAATTATCTTTTATCAAGATAACATAATCATTTAAACAAAGCTAATGGATATATAAGAACAATATATAACAAAACATGACTTTTTTAAATAAAGTTCAATAAGAAATATAATATATGTAAAACCTTTTCTTATATTGAACTTTCTTTCCCTTTATCTTTTGCATTTTGTCTTAGTAAAGGTAATTTTTTTATATGTTTAATTTTCACTCGAAAAGGATAAGGAATACTGTCGACTGAAAGCAATGATGTTCAAACATACACACTTCCCCTTGGACCCAAAATCAGTAAAGTTTAGATGTTATGACGACTGTCGCTACCGTACTCTGGTACAACCATATCCAGTCTCTCCTACTTTCCCCCTTAAATACTCTATTGTTAAGGACATATTGAATAATTAAAATACTGAGACATAATTCTAATATACCTATAATAAATTGTTTGCAGCCCGTTTCAAGCAGCAACGGCGAAGAGAGCAGCAAATTGCGTCAGCTGATACATATCCTCTGCACGACTTCATCACCGTGCCGACCTTTACCCGGAAGTGCCCATATGAGGTCACAAGGTCTCAGAATCACCGGAGTCGATTGCGATGAAGTTTATCCTCGATTATACATCGGCGACGCGTAAGAATCCTATATATATATATATATATATATATATATATTCTATTTGCATTTAAATTAATTATAACTAGGTGTATATTTTGCCTTAATTTCGCACGCATGCAAATGATAAGTAAAAATAATCGACTTAAGGGGGTATTCTAGTGCAGAGCAATGAATTTTAGGTCATTTTTAAAGTGTCGAAAAAGGAAGAAATGAATGATTTTACTATCCATTTTTTACCACTTGTTTATTAATATTATTAAAATATAAAACAAAAATTTAAAAGAAAGTTGAACATTGAAAAAACTGGCAGCTGATGAAGTGCGGGGTCTCAAAAAATTGGCACTTCAGACTTGTCATGATTTCAGCCCTTCTAGCTACCCGAATAAAAAAAATAAAAAGATTATTAATCTACAATGATGTCAAAAACGCCCAAACTAGCTAAGAGTAAAAAAATTTTCTTTCGCAAACTGGCGACTGTTTGAAAAAAACTGTCTTTTTTTACTTTTTTTCGAGTTTCTCGAATTTTTTAAAAATAGTAAAGATTGGAATTTGGGAATTATGCTAGTTTGGGCTATAGATAGGTCTATAAACAAGACTCTCTGATCATTTCAAGTAATCGGTCGATTAAAAATCGTGTCAACAGTACTGAAAAAGTCTGTTCTGAGAAAAACGCATTTAAAGTTTTGCGTAAAGTTTTTTGCTGTCAAAGTCATAAAATGATATGTTATACTTATTTTATTTAATTTGCCATTCCTGGTTCATGCGTCGGATCTTCTTCTACTTCAAAAAAAACTATTTTCTGCATTTCTCTCTTCCAATCTAGCAGTTCTAGCCTTCTTTGAGCCTTCTTTGAAGCGTTGGATGTACGTATTTCAGACCGTTCAATCCGGGCGTTGTCTCGTCTTACAGCAAATGAATGAGCTCTCTCCCAATTTGCATTACCATAATGGTATTCATTTTTAAAATCGGAAAGAAGAATATTCAAGAATCCTTCATTGTATATGCAAACAACAATAAATGTTGCTATTTCAATTACCCGAGATCGGGAATGAATATGTTTCGGCGCGAAAATCCAAATCAACGAGTTTAGAGACTCATTATTGTTCTGAGTTTCTGAGCCTAAACATCGAATTAATAATTTATTTGACGATAAACTGTCATAAATTGGTCTAATGACTTCCTAATGCCATTTGTTCTATTAGACCTTGCAAAACCAGTTTTTGGAGACCGCGTCAGTAAAGTGCCTATATCTTTGAAGATAATTCAAATTTTCAAAAATCTTCTCGTACCCATATTCTTAGATAGTTAAACTTTGAAAATATGAAACAAAAAAAATCGTTTTTTTTTGAATTCTACACTAGAATACCCCCTTAATCCATAATATTTGAAAAGCTGCATTCAAAACTGTGACGATAGAACGTTGAATTTTTGACACGGCCGTTTATCCACACTTAGATGATTTTTTATAATTAAATCACTTTTCGGGGTTTAATTGAATTTTCGTTAAGACTATCAACTCTATCACTATACTAAGTTTCATCAAAATCGTCAGAGTGTTTGTTTCAGCAATAATTACGACGAAACGGCTCGACAGCTCTATATCAGGAACTAATCGGCACGATTTTCCTCTGATATCTTTTAAACATTTTTTGATTTTTTAATTAATTAATTTTTAATTAATGTTCTTATCAATTTTCATCAAAAGGTTTTTAAATTTTTAAAATCGATATAGTCGAACATAAACTTCTTCTTCGGTAAGTTAAAAAGCCTTATTGTTAGCTTAATTTTGCCCAAAAATCAAGATTGACTTTTATAAGTTTACCTATATGATATCATTTATAGTGCATCATTTTTAATTGATATTTATATTTTTATGTATTTGTTGTAAGGTAGGGCGAGACACACAAATAAGGCTCAACTTGAATTTCAGTAATTGTCATAACCAAATGAACTACATTACAACAAATAACATGCATCAAACTACTGAACGATTTATTCCTAATTATAAAAACATGTTTTATAGCTATTTTCTTAAGATTTATCATATGTCTCTTTTTACTCTATAGGCTAGGGGAAAAAGGACTGGTCACAACATTTTGTTCTAATTGTAACAATTCATTCAAAATTACTTGAAACGTCGAAAAATCTTAAACTTAGCGGAACAATTTTTTTGATGAAAACAAACTTTTTTTCCTGATTGTTAACAATAACTCAAAGTTTTCATTTTGCAATAGAACATTTTATTTCTATTTCAAATTTGATCGGTTCTATTTGACGTTCTCTTGATTTCTCTAGATGCGTCAGTTTGTACTTTTGTTTAACAACCTTGAACTTCGGAACAATCAGTGTCTGGCCGTATCACATAGGGACAAGTTTTGTTCTATTGTGAATTTCTGATCTATTTCGGGATTGATTTCCCAGGTCATGGTAAGAAGATACGGACACGGAAGACACGGACAGCCGCGATTTCTCACGTCATTATCTAATCATAGGGATAAAGCAAAAGTTAAGGGAAAACGATTAGGAAACATATCGTGGATCATATTGGAATCTTTGTGGGGAATTCAACAAAAACTGTAAAGTCGGTATCAAATTTAGATTTTGCGCATTCTTGTAGCATAATTGATTACTGGACTGGATATGGTTTGGCTAATTATTCTTTAACAATGTGTAGATAATGGGGGCAATTCTACCGTAAAATACACCAATGTTACGTAGGGGCTATGTTACGTAGCTCTTCTCATACAGAATGGTACTAAATACTGTCAAAATGCAATGCGGTTGATGTGTTTGCAGGCGTATTAGATAGAAAACCTAACTTAAAAAACGCATAAATGTCAAACCTACAATCTTATCATAACTGCATTTTTGTGATATGGCTCTATGGCATATGAGTGAAGTTACATTTTATATGTAAAACGCTTGATCGTACAGCAAATACATGGCGTTTTGACAGTATTTAGTACCATTTTGTATGAGAAGCCTTATTTATCATATCTACATTGGTCTATTTTACGATAGAATCGACCCCAAAATTATACGTATATATGTATGTATATATAAACAAACAACTATCTATACAACAATTATCATAGATTTGTCATTTGATCCTTTTTGTACTATAGGTGTAAAAAAGGGAGCTTTTACGTAATAATGGCTACCTTATTTAATCATTGTGATACAGTATAATCATTAGGATGAATAAAATGATGATATAAATACATATATATTTTTAAACATAAATTTATCAATTTTTACTACCATTAATCTTGCTTTGGTAGACATTTTTGCTTAATTTATTACAGTCAGGCATATTGTTTTTTTAAGTATTATTGTTACAAATAGGGTTAATAGACCTTTAATAAATAATAATTTACCTTTAATTACCTTTAATTAATAATAATAGACCCCAAATAAATATTTCGTGACTACATTTTTATAATGATCATACTGCATACAACCTTGATATTGGACTTTGTCAGAAGAATTCATCATCAGAGTTCGAATAACAATTAATTTAATTTATCTCTTGTAAAATTGCCTCTTAAACTTGTTATACTTTTTTCTTATTGTTTACACCTTGACAGTGTAAAGGTTGAATTGCTTCTTTTTAATATATAAGCTCTTATATGAAAAAAAAACAATTAAATTTAATGAAGTATACACAAAAATTATATTTAGATATTGTAAACTAAACTATAGTACACAAAACTAGAACAACGAACAATGGGAGAAAGTACTTTCGTTAAAAACTTGACAATGTGGTCATTTATCGATTTGAGACGATAGCTAGTTACGTATCTTTTGCCAACTACTTTAAAACAGCATCGTTAAAAATACCTTACTCTACTTGTTTTTGAGATAATAATGATAGACTTTTTGATCCGCAGACTTTTAAGCCCCACTCTACTTTATATTGTTTGTATAAATCTAACACCAAAAAATTAAATCAGTAAAAATATATTAACTCAGTTTTTGCATCATAGTCATAATTTCTAGAAGAACTTTTCCGCTCCACTTTGGAAAATCGCTTTGAAATTTCCGATTTGACCGCATTCCAGCTGGGTGTTCCAATTCTCTAAGCTTTTATATATACATTACATGCATATTTTCTTGTACAATGCCTTTTTATATTCGTTAATGTTTTTCATAATACTTTCGGGAATAGACCATACCTTAATGTGAGATTTCTATCTCTATCGACCTGTCGACCCCGATTCAAACTGATGCCGTTTGCGGCAACTTTTGTGAAAAGGGAATTGTGGTGAATTATTTTTATCAGCATCAAAAGTTCTTGAATGAGTAATAAAATCCATTTATATTATGAAAGATATTTTAATATATTTTGTCATGGTATGAAAAGATGAATCGATAAGAGAATTGTACTGAAATTATTTATTACTTACAAAGCTAATACCAAAAGTTTGATAGGATTATTTTAATAAGATTATATTTGAGGTTGTAATATTTATCGAAGAGGATTTGGTTTTATAGCATTTTATTCCAAAACATTTGTTTTATTGTGAAATTGAATTGAATTAATAAATACTGATGGTGATGATTTTTAAAACAATATTACAAACACTACTTGCCAGTGACCATTCGAAAATAGTAAAAGAAGCACGGACAAAATGATATGGTTTTTGTTTTTAAATTATAATTATTTATTTAATGATATTTTAACCAATCTTAATCGTTTTTTCCGATTTTTGGTTTACTGACTACCAGTAAGATTATCTTATTAAAAAAATTATTATTCGTAATTAAATAAAATACTATCTTACTAAGATAGTATTTTATTTAATTACGAACAATAAAAACATACTTATTAGAGAAAGCTGCAAATTACAAAAATCATTTTGTACACATAGGGCAAGACAATATGACACATGGGTAAGAACCTACTGAGATGCTAATTTTTAATGAAGCAGTTTACAAATAAACTGTTTCGTCTTCCTCCTTTTTGGGACATTGGCACAGTAACCTACCTTTGCCGGACTCGGAAAAAGAGGGTT